GGGGGGCCGGGGGAGGTGGGGGCCCGGGGAGGGCTCAGCGCGGGGAGGAGGCGCGATGGGGGCTGGGCCCGGCTGCGGGACCCCGGTGCCCGTGGGAGCGGCTGGGGGCACACGCGTGTGCGGGAGCCTGCGTGTGCATGCCTGTGCGTGCGCGTGGATTCACACACGAAATTCGCGTTTCTCCGTCGCTTTGCACACTTCTACACACGCGGAATCCACGCGTGTGTGCCCACGGATTCACACACGCGTGTGCACACCCAGGGGTGTTTGTGCCTGCGTGTGTGTGCGCGGCCCCGGCGTGTGCCCACCCACCACCCACCCCCCTGTCTGCCTGCCTGCCTGCCTCTTTGTCTGTCCGTCCGTCTGTCTGTCTGTCTCCTGCTGTTCTTCCAGCTGCCTCTGCCATGTGTGTGTGTGCGTGTGTGTGGTCCCCGTGTCGGGGCGTGCAAGGAGACCGCGTGTGTGCGTGTGTGTGTGCGTGTGTGCGGGTGGTCCCCGCCGGGGGGCCCTACAGACTGTCTGTTTGTCTGTCTGTCTGTCTGCCTGTCTGGGGACGCATCCCTGCAGTGGCAGCACCCCGGGACCCCCCACCCTCTCCTCCGCGGGCTGTGGGTGGGGGGCTCCCCAGCGCATCCCCCTCCCTGCCCGGCCCCCCGCGGTGGGCACACAGCAGCACCCCGCGCTGCAGCGCTACCCCAGGGACCCCCACCCATGGGTGCCCCTTGGGGTCCCCCCAGCCCTGCGGTCCCCGGTGTCCTTGGGGCGGGGCCCCGGTGCTGTTCGGTCTGTCTGTCTGTCTGCCTGTCTGCCTGTCTGCCTGTCTGGGGACGCATCCCTGCAGTGGCAGCACCCCGGGACCCCCCACCCTCTCCTCCGCGGGCTGTGGGTGGGGGTCTCCCCAGCGCATCCCCCTCCCTGCCCGGCCCCCCGCGGTGGGCACACAGCAGCACGCCGCGCTGCAGCGCTACCCCAGGGACCCCCACCCATGGGTGCCCCTTGGGGTCCCCCCAGCCCTGCGGTCCCCGGTGTCCTTGGGGCGGGGCCCCGGTGCTGTTCGCCCTCGCGGGTGCCCAAGGTCACCCCCGCTCCTGCTCAGACTAAACACGGCAGCGGCGGCGCCCGGGCCGGGGGGGCCCGGCGTGGGGACAGGGCTTTGCACCGGCTGCGACACGTGTGTGTCCCCACAGCATGCAGGGCCCAGCCTCAGCTGCGCAGGGTCTTGTCCCCAAGGCCCTAAATGACACCCCCCGGCCCGGGGTTCACCCCCTCTCTGATGGCTTGAGCCCCTCCAGGGCTCCTAGGGGCGGCTGCAGGTCCCCGTGCCACGGCCCTGTCCCACCTCCGTGCTCCCATCACAGCTCCATGTCCCCTTATCAAGTCCCAGCTCCGTGTCCCTGCTCTGGCTGCAGGTCCCCATGCCACGGCCCTGCCCTGGATTTATGTCCCCGTGTCCCTGCCATGTCCCTGCCATGTCCCCATGGCACGAGCCAGCTCTGTCCCCATGCCGTGCCCCCGCCCCAGCTCCAGGTCCTTCTGCCATGTCCCATTTCTGGATCGCTGTCCTGTGTCCCTGTCCCCATCCCATCTCCATGTCCCCATGCCGTGTCCCTGTCCCGTGCCAGCCCCGCACGAGACCCGAGCTCAGCTCATTGCCCCGGTGGCAGCGGGTGGCCCTGCCCGTGCGGGCTGGCAGGGAGCGAGTGCCCCACCGTGGGGACAGCAACGGGGACGGGTGGGTGTCCCCATGCCCGACCCGGGACCCCCCACGTGCCCGAAGGCACCAGGTGGCACTGCGAGGCCACCGCGGCCATCGCTGCCCGGCCCCCAACCCTAACCCAAACTGTCCCCAGTGGGCACAACCACAGTGACAACTCTCCTGTCCCCAGATCTGTCCCGAGATGTCTCTCCGTGGGTACAACCACGGTGTCATCTCCCCTGTCCCCAGATCTGTCCTGCCATGGGCACAGCCATGACAGCTCCCCAGCCTCCAGGTGTGTCCCTTCATGGTCTCAGCCACAGTGACACCTCCCATCCCCCCCTCTGTCCCCAGATCTGTCCCTTGGCAGGCAGAGCCACGAGCCCTTGGGCTGAAGGTGACAGATATTGGGGTGCCTTTGTGGCTCAGGGCCTCCTGCCACCTCCTGTGCCTCAGTTTCCCCACGAGGCTGTGGGAAACACCTGTCCTAAGGAGGGACAAAGTGTCCCCTCAAGCAGGGTGGTACAGCTGCCCACGGGGACACCCAGGGTGTGTCCCCAGGGGGGGTGGCCGGCCCCAGTGCAGGTGCCCAGTCCCCAGTGTGTGTCCCCGCGGTGGGTGCCCAGTCCTGGTGGGTGTCCCTTGTCCTGCAGTGTCCCCACTGTGGCTGCACACACTCGGGTCCCCGGTGCAGATGCCTGGTGCCCTACGTGTCCCAAGGGTGTCCCCACAGTGCCCAGCGGGTGTCCCCGGTGTGGGTGCCCGATCCCAGGGCGGCTTCCCGGTGCAGCCACCCCAACCCCCGCGCGTGTCCCCGGTGAGACACCCGCTCCCAGTGCGTGTCCCCGCTTCCCCGACCGTGACCCCGCTCCCGATGCGCGCCTCCGGTGCCGATGCCCGGTTTCCCGTGCGCATTCCCGATCCCGGTGCCGATGCCCGCTCCCCCGTGCGCATTCCCGATCCCGGTGCCGATGCCCGCTCCCCCGTGCGTGCCCCCGCTCCCCGGCGCGCGTTCCCGGCGCTCGTTCCCGGCTCGGTGCCCGCGGCCGTGCGCGCCGCCGGTGCCGGTGTCGGTGGCTGCCTGGCGCTGGCTGAGCGCTGCCGCCGCCCGGCCCCGCGCCCGCTGGGGGGACGAGGCACCGGGGGGGACCGGGGCTGCCGTGCCTCGGGGGGACCGTGCGCCCCAGGGATGGGGGCTGCAGTGCATCGGGGGGAACGTGCGCCGGGGGGGCACACAACAGGCACCGAGCGGGGAGAGCCCGCCGCGCTCGGGGCTGCCGTGCGCCGGGGGTCGGTGCGCCGGCGGCCCGGGGGCTGCCGTGCATGGCGGGGGATCGGCCACCGGCGGGGCACCCTGCACCGGGGGCTGCCGTGCGGCGGGGGGGCGACACCGTGCAGGGGGCCAGGCCTGGTGTCTCAACCCCCCCTCCACGAAGAGCAGCCGGGCCCGGTTTGGGGGGGCTGTTGGCCCCGGGGATCGTCCCCACCGCGGGGTCGGGGGGGCGCAGGGCTGGGGTGGGGGTCCCCCCTCGGCGGGGGGTGCTCGAGGTCACGGCGCACACGCGTGTGGGGTGCGCGGTGCGTGTGTGCTCAGCCCAGCCGGAGCGGTGCCCGTGCGTGTGCCCGCGGGGGGGTTGTTGTGCTGCCGTGGCTCCCCGTGTCCGTCCGTCCCGCTGTCTGTCCGTGTCACCGGCTGCGCGTGTGCCAGCGCGTGTGCCCGTGTCTCTCCGTGCCAGGGTGTCTGTGTGTGCCCGGCCGTGGCTGTCCCTCTGTCTGTCTGCCGCCTGTTTGTGCAGCCAGCCCCCCCCTCGCGCGGGCCCCCCAGCGCCGCCGTGGGGCTGGGGGCTGCCGCGGGTGGGCTCGGGGCCGGCCGGGAGCGGGGGGCCGGGCTCACCCCCGGCCCGATGCCTGCAGTGCAGATCATAAATCAGCGGCGGCTGGAGCGGGATCCAGGGCCCGCGGGCTCGCTGGCACCCAAAGCCCCAGCGCGGGGAGCCGTGAGGCTTCCCGGGCTCCTGGGACCCCCAGCAGCCCCCCAGGGCCCTCAGCAGGGTGGCCCGTCCCCCCCTGTCCCCGTTGTCCCCTCTGTCATGCTGGAGGCCGGCAGCCGGCCGGGGTTGGCAGGCAGCCCACGCTGCCAGGGCTGCGGGCACCGCGGCCTCGCTGCCCTCCGGCCCCGCGGGGCCATGGGCACGGTCCCCCCGCTGCCACCCGCCCGGCGCTGCCCGGGGTGACCCGCGCTGTGGCCCTGTTTTGCAGGTGACACCCCCCTCTCTTGCCACCAGTGACGCGCTGGCGGCGGGGACAGCCGTGAGCCACCCAGGACGTGGGCTGAGCAGCAGGACACGAGGAGGAAGAGGAGGAGTGGGTGTCTCGGGGACAGCACCGTGGCTGCGTGTCCCCATCACCGTGACAAACACCGCCAGCCCCCAGCCGACGCAGTCCGCGAGGTCCTGGTGCCTTTTTGGAGCCTGAGCCCTGCCGGCAGCACCGCGGGGAGGAGGAAGAGCCGGGGAGGACGTGCCGGGTGATGGATGGCCCCAGCCCCGCGCGGCGGCCTCGGGGGAGCGGCACCGGGCGGCTCGGGGCCCTGGGGGGCCCGGCCGGCTGCAGCCGCCTCTGCAGAGCCCCGCAGCGCCGG